AAATCCGTTGACAAAGACTCGTAGAAATCCCATGGGAAGGCTATTTGCAATCACTTCTGGAATATCTGGGCTAAACGACAAGAAAGCACAAACTGAAAAAACGATCTTGAGGATTGCAACAAAGGTATAAGATAGCGCAAGCATCTTGCGGAACTGTGATCTGTTTTGCAAGCTTTCCTCGACTCCTGGCAATATAGGATGACAAATGAAACTGAAAATTATAAGTGCTAATGAGACTGGCGCTTCATCGATATTCCGGACTAATATAAGGTTAAGATTCCACTTAGAGCCATGTGCTATGCCAAAAGCTAAGACAGCTATTACTGCTACAGATAAAGCTACAACACTCACTAAACTGAACCATGCAGCCTGTGAAATATTCTTTACGAAAATGGTCGGGAACCCAATTGTAGCTGCAATGACCATCCAAATTTTATCGGACACCGGTATCCCTGGAAATATACTGCTTGAGAGCGAGGCGCATAAGACAAGATACAAAGACGCCAGCATAAACAGTTCGATCAGCTGGACAGCGGCAACAATAGCACCACCAAAGCGAGGCCAGCAGGCCTTACCGAGCTCCTTATAGTTGGACCTGACTCGAATTCTTTCGCCTTCGTTGTTGGTCTCATACAGGCACTCTATCAATATAGCTCCGGTGTAGTAGGTGATAAAGGGAACCACGACCAGAGCTGCTATCGCTACCAGGCCACTCTCAGCAATCACGTAAGGAAGAGCGAGGAGGCCGGTGCCCTCGATACTGCTCATGAGGTTAGCAACCGCTTTCCATAAGCTCGACCTTTCTGCAGACTCTTCATTTTGACCAGCCGCATCTTCTTCTTGGATCAGGATTTTTTTTTCATGTTCTTTTCCTTCTCGTTCTTCCTCTCCTTCTTCAGTATGGTTTTTTAGTAAACGATAGCCGGTGGTTTCAGACATTTTGCTACGCAAAACAATCTTGTTATTCCTGAGGAACACAAGTTACTCGGTTAGATATGAAATGTGACAGCTGATTATTAACAATAAAAGCGAATCAAATGTTCCAAATTCCCTTCCCCCTCCCCCCATGTCGAAGGAATTTTGTTCGCCAAACGAGAACAAAGGCGCTGGTGGTAACGCCGATTAGTGGTGATAATTTTAGAATTACCACCAGCGCCTTTGTTTGGAGGCTTGGCACATTATCTCCGCCCACGCTCCTTTAAATCGTGACGATGGCGGTCTGCTTCCTGACGCTTA